TTTATGGTGTCGAATGTTGGCCATTAAAAGAGAAGCATAGCACTATGTTGAGTGTGGCATATATGAGGATGCTCAGGTGGATGAGTGGTTTTACCCTTAGAGATAGGATACGAAATGAGCATATACGTGAAAACGTTGTAGTAGCTCCACTAGAAGATAAGATTAGAGAGATTCGCCTTAGATGGTTTGGTCACATAAAACACCGGCCTTTCGATGACCCGGTTAAGGGAGTAGAGGTATTATATTTGACTTATGTTAAGAAAGGTAGAGGCAGACCTAAAAAGACTTGGTTAGAAAATATTAGGAATGACATTTCTTTATTAGATTTAAATGAGAATTTGACTTTTAATAGGACACAATGGAGAAAAAGGATTCATGTAGCTGACCCCACGTAGTGGGATAAAGGCTTGATGTTGTTGTTTTGTTGTTGACTCTATTGTTATGAGTTCATCACAATTTTTGCTTGTCCCAATTTCGGAGCATGGAGCTCTCTAAAGTCTGTGCGTGCATACATCATGCTATTGTTTTCTTCATCCTTGGCTGTATACTTTCTTTATAATTTCATTTAGAAGATTGTTGAAGAACCTTTGAATTTCATTTTCTGTTCTTTGGATTTTTTTCGTGATAAAAGTGGCAAAGTCAATGAATCGATGTTATTTTACTGTGGAACTTGTTTGTTAATGCATCTTTAAGTTGCATTCTCGATACTTGATATTTAAAGACTAGATGATGAATTTTATGATGCTATGCTTTATTTATTAACGTTCTCTTTTACTTAAAAATTGGAGGATGCCATCTTATTAGTTTATGCAAGCACCGAAATAATGGGCTTCTGGACTCTTCATCCTCTTAAAGAGAATATTTGATAATCATTTAGTATTTTCATTCACAAAGTTTGAACTTGTAAATTACCTTTTTTTTTCTTTTTTTGTTTCTTCAATTCACTAGATTTTTAAGCCCCTTATTTTAATTTATATTATTTAATATTTCCCCAAGTCCGTTTCTTTAATAATCATAATATGCTTGTCATCTTTGCGTTAACTTATTTATATTTACACTTTTCAAATTTCAGTGTTAAATTACTATGCTAAGTGTTCTTATTCTCTATCGTGAAATTCATTCTTTTCTTATGTTTAGGGTTTAGAGAAGTTGTCTTTACTTAGGTTTCCAATAGTTGATTGATGTTGCCTTTGCTTAAGCTAGATGATATTGTTCTCAAGAGAGGGGATTTCAAGATCCTGTCTATTTAGCTGTTAGCACATTGTTAACTTGTTTTTTTGTTCAGAATTAAAATTGGTTTGTTTTGTTTTGGCTCTCCTATTATAGGATCTTCCTTGTGTTTTAGCTTGGAAGCCAGCTATTGTTGATGGAAATTGATCATTCCGATCAGACAGTTCAGCAAGATGGCTATAACATACATGGTCATGATTTGGAGAGGTCTCAAGGAATTAGATTGGGATCCAATTCAGTGAGCAGTGAGGAGAAGAATGCCGCTGTTCATGATGAGATTGAACGAGTGAACCGGCTTCCCTCCAACAGCAGCTATGCCTTGCATCGATTGCGGGTGTTGAACAAAATTTTGAATCTTATGTCTGTTCAAGTAAGTAATATATTCAAGTATGAAAGTTAATGATTTATAATTTATTTTTCTATTGCATCTGTTATTTAGCCACATAAATCAAAGGATTTAAGTTTCTTGTATGCTCTAGACGAATTGCATTATGAGGGAGACATGATTAGCTATAAAGACAGGATTAAGAATCTAGTCTAGTATAAGTTGAACTAAAAATGTAGTTATTGGCACATCTCTGACGGATATCATTTTCTTACCAATTCTATACATTCATTACTGTAATGGTTAGCATCCTATATACTTATTGCTATAACGAGCAGCATTGTGAGACCAACCCTTATTTTTAAAGATATTTCATAATACGATGTAGTCCTTATTTTTATATGAGAGATTTTCACTTGGGTTATCATCCAATGTTTTGATAGTAATCTGTAATGGTTGCTCGCCAACATAATAGCTTCTATGCTATGATGTACCATATTCATATGCTAAATTTGAGGCATAGAGTAGTTGTCCTACTAATTGATCAAGAAGGCAGTGTGACATTAGGAACTCGACTACTCTATCCAATGGGCTCCATGTGTTTTCGATGATTACAGGTGTATTAACCGAAGGTTATGACACCCCTCATATTGGCATGGTTCTGGCTTCATTCAAGACAATTGCAATGGAAAAGGGTGCATATTAGTAATTGAGCTAGCCTTATAAAGATGGATTGAAGGCCAAAATATGGAACTCAATGGTTATTAAGCACCCAAACCTATTGCTCCTTAATGGGGCTTATATGTGCATCTCTTGTGGATTCAACCCTAGCCTAGAACTCTAGCCTTGGGGAGTCACTCCAAAAGAGTTTTATGCCTAGTCTAAATGGGCACCGACATTGCTTGCATCAGGCCAAATATGAAGATTGACGGGGTGATGATTCATATATATTTTTTAGTTGGTGAGCAAGGACTGCTCAAGTTTGGTAAAAGATTGTGCATGTCGACGATGCTAATGGAGAACATTATGCAAGAGGCATATAAACCAATTATGCCATCCACTTAGGAACTAAGAATATACTAAGACTTGAAGACTCACTTTTGGTACCCAAGAATTAAGAAAGATGTCACCATGTCATTGATGCCTCACATATCAAGTAGCCAAATCGGAACACAAAATTTGATGATATTACTTCTACCTAATGATACCATTATGGAATACACCACCATGAACTTTATCGCAGGATTGTTGAGAAGGTTGAAAGGACATGGCGCTATTTGAGCTTTGTCCACGAACTTACTAAGGGGTTATTTGGTTTCATGTATTTAGAATGAAAAATAAAAAGAATGCGGGAGTTTTATTTTTTTGATTTGAAATCAAATACAAATTATTTGTACATGGAATTTTGAATATTTTATAATGCATCATTTTGACAATTTTTTTAATTTACGCAAATATGCATATTCCAAATATAAGAAAAATTCATTGCTCGTGACCTCATGTTCCTTGCCCACATCGCTGCAACTACCTTTGTCCATTGTTGACACCATAGTTACACGTTTTCAACGTTGTCACCACCGGATGTTACTGTTCTCATTGCCACCTACCGCCTGCCATGGCTACCACCCCCATCCCCATCCAGCCACCCACCACAATGGCCTGCTACCCTCTAGCCATCGCCCACCATTGTTTGACATATTTTAATGCATTTGAAATATATAATAACAAACAAAAAAAGTCTTTCATTTCATTTCATTTGCATCCAACCAAATAATTAATGCTTTTCAAACATGCATGCATGAGCCAAGGATAATCATATCAGATTAAGATGACCAATTCACATGATGGTTATGACGACAACTTCAAAATGCCATTAGCATATGACTATCTGTCAACTCATCTAGTTTGAAGACCAGGTAGAGAGGAAAACTTAAAAATAGGATGATTTGTTGCGGATGAGTTGCCCTAATTTGGCTGGGATTTGTGTCGACACTTCTTTGATCGAGTTTTCTTTTAATACTAGCAATCATGCCAACTTTGGTGTGGTGCCATTTGAGTCTATATATGTATGAAAATACATATCATTCCTTAACTACATGGAGCTGGATGACAAAAAAGTCATTAGACTGGATGTGACTCTAGCATCGACGCACAACTACAACTTCTTATAGCATAGGGCAACTAAAAGAAATATTATGACATTGCAGATATATCCAATTTGATGCAAGTCATAAAGTGCTTTAAAAGGTAAGCCCAATGTGCTACATTAAGTAGTTTGTCAAGTTAGAAAGTTTTAGCTATGATACTGTTAGATTGGTCCACACGGGACCGACTCAGGCGGACAGAGGCGGAACTCTTCCACCTCTCCTGCATGCCGCTAGAAACTGCCGGATCCAAGGGAGCTTTTTGGGAAGGATTTTTGGTTGAGTTAGGAGGGAAATTTGAATGTAGGGACTGTTTAGAGACTTCTTTTGGATTGTATGCATTAAATAGTTGGTTTTTCAGGGTTAGGGCATTTGGAATTTGGCTGAAATTGGAGATCTCATAGGTTTTCTTTGGGCTCTAGCGGCGTCTAGAGATTTGGGAGAGATTGATCCTCCTCTCGAATAGAGGATCAATTGTATCTTGTTATTTTCTTATGTAGTTTGCTTTCTCACAATAAAATTACTGTTTTCACTGGTTTTCCATTGGAATCGTGGAGATTTCTCGTTGTTTTTGCTCTCTTGATAGGATTTACTTGAAATCTTCAAGTGTTCCCGATCAAATTGGTATCAGAGCAAGTCTTGGGACTATCGGGGTTGATTTCTTGAAATTTCAGTGGCAAAAATTCATCCGGCGGAAGGAACACTAGCTGATTTTTGGATCAAAATCCAAAAATTTTGATGGCGGCCAAGAAGGTAGATGCGTTGGAAGAGTGTTTTGAAGGAGAGATGAGCCAAATAAAAGCTACGGTGGAGGATCACAGTTTTTCTCTCTTGATAGGATTTACTTGAAATCTTTAAGTGTTCCCTATTAGATACATAAGGCCTTTTAAATTAGATGATAGTTTAGGACTTGTCGCCTACCCACTACTACTACTGATGCCAAAAACATTAGGCGTTCACAATGTTTTTCAGGACTCAAACCTCAATAAGTATATTCTCGACCCAACATATATCGTCCAATGTATATCCAATGACTTCCAATTATTTCTCAACTTTATTTATTAAGGGGTAAAAGGATTTTAGGCCGACAAGTCTACCAACTTAAAACCAAGAGTATTCCATTAGTGAAGGTACTTTGGAAGAATCAAGTTGAGAAGAGGCTTCATGAGAATGGAAGTCGACATAAACAATCGATACCCCTATTTCTTAGTGACACATATGGTAAATTTCTAGGAATAAATTTCTTTTAGGAGCGTAGAATGTAAAGACCAAAAAACTTTTGCTTTGAAATTTTTTGTGGCGTTAGTATGACCTGGCCAATGGGTTTCTTGTGACTCAAAAGTGACTTGATGGGTTTTGATGATGGGAAATACTATAGGGCGACACTATTCCAATTTTTTATTTCAAGCTTGAAGGGCTCAATAGGCTGAACAAGCTAACGATTGACTTTGCAGGTAGGGGCTTGCAAGAAAGAAAAAATTGATGACTTAGGCCGCCAACTCGCCTAATCAACCGAACTAGGGCACCAAGTTAGCATGCCCTAACAACATGTTCTCCTTGGAAATATGTTGAGATTTTTCTAGCCAATGGTTGCGGAATGGCACATTTCTCCAATACGCTTTAATTAGAGTCAACAAGGAATGTAGATAAAGCGAGTTGCCTTGGAAGACAAACATTGGGAAAGCAAACTATTAGGAAAAGCAACACAAGGGAGGTGCCATGTATAATTAGGCTTGATGCCTCTGAATCATCATTTGAGCATGCCAATATCGACCTCCTCCTCTATATAAAGGAGTCTAAAATTGACAAAAAGTGTTTATTGTAGCTTTGCACAAGGTGGAGACTATGCTACTGTGAAGACTAATAACTCAAGGCAAGTGATTGACACCAAATCTTTGTGACTACACCTAAGGTGAACTTTATAAACCTTTAATATTAGATTTCATTTTATCGCTAGCTATTATAGTTATCTTCCAATACCGTTTACCGACATCATAGTGTAACTGTTTACTTTTCTTTGCATGCATGAAATGTATGACCTAATGACATCAGTTGCTTGTGTGAATATTATGTTAGCTTAAATACATGTGATGAACTATATTGAAGTGAGTCGAAAGGTCAAGTGGAAGCATTCTTGTGAAATGATAGTTGTCAGTATTACGAGAGCGCCAAAGCGTTACTTCTAAAACATGCTATACTGAAGGAAATGACTAAGTGAATGATCACATTGATGCCATATTTAATGTTGAGGATTCTAATTTTGCTAATTTTTACTAGTTTTCACCTGACCATATGATTTTTACTAGTCTTTTGAATCACTAGGGTTTACCATATAAATAAGAGCATGTTTACATGTTTTGAATTTTATAAATCCTCTTGACTTGTTTTTTTAACTTGAGTTCGGGCCCAAAATAATTTGCATGAGAATTTTGGGGTATTTCTTGAAAATGTAGTCCGTATTGGTTGGGGAAAATAACATTTAAAACACTTCTCTTTGCAATTTGAAAACTTGATTTTTAAAAATAGACCAATTCGATTATGATGTGCGATTATGATTCCCGTCGTAGCGGTATTTGCATGATTGTGTTTAATTGCTTTGAACATTGTCAACTTTGCGTATTTGTTTACATAGGATTGGGTTCATGGTTGTGTATAATACGAGTTCATCTTCATTATTTGATCTTATTTATTCTTCCTCCATATGTACGCGATTTGATTAATGAGATTTGACCTCGTGATCATACCTTATAGATTTGACACCGAGAGGTTGCATTTTGAAAGTGAGTTTCATTGTAGGAAGCTTCGAAATAAATCATTTTTAAGTTGGATTTGACTTTCCTTGAGCTTACAAGCTCAATCATATTGAGCTGAAATTTTAGCTCATTTATGAGCTGGTCTTTAGTTCACTTATAATTGGTGGGGGTAAGAAATATAGGGAGCCTATACCCCTCGCCCGCACGAGCTATTGAACCCTTAAGAACCGGATGACAACCCACTAAATCACGAAACAAAGATGACTAAGATGAGGAAGAACAAACTCTTACATTTCAAATCTAAGACCGACTTAGAAATTAAAAAAATAAAATAAAATTACAACTACTTATAATCTTGACTCGAAATCAAAGACACCTTAAAGTTGCTTTGCTTAGAGAAGAGGGATATAGGTGGAGTGGCACTTGCGGAGAGACCAAAGAGATTAGAAGCCGAGACGAAAGGTTGGAAAGAGCTCGTGAGATTTTCGGAGGGGATGAGAAAGAAGACGGACAAAGCTTGCAAGCTTTTCCAAGCAAACCCGCAGGTTATAGCTTTTCCAAAAATAACATTTCATTCAACTATCTTTAAAACATTACAAGCCCCTCATAGATATAGGTATGAAAGGAGAATACAAAAAGGACACACAACATTAATTTTCTCAAGAACCTAAACATCACAAGCATGGAAATCCCCCCATGCATTCACGGAAAACCGCCCAAGCCCAGGAACCGAAGGAGCAGCCGCGGGAGACAAGGAGGCCGCACGTAACCAAGGCGCCACAGCCACGGGAAAACACCCAGGCTCGGAAAACCAGCAGTTGGCCGGAAATCCAATGGGCAAAGGCACAAAAAACAATAGCCCATGGTGGAAGCCAAGGAGGCACACATGGGAAACAACACTTCTTGGAATTCCAAAGGCCGGTTTGGAATTCTAAGGGACAAACATAATTAAAGACATAAAAATAATAAAAAGTACATTTAATAAAAGATAACTATGAACTAAAATGTTAACTAATAATGAGCTAACCATTTCAATAAGTGAACTAAAGATTAGCTCATAAATGAACTAAAATTTCAGCTCAATATGATTGAGCTTGTAAGCTCAAGGAAAGTCAAATCCAACTTATTTTGGGTTTGAGTTGACCCCCCTTTGCCTACATCAGTAGGTGAAAGAGAAGAAGTGTTCGTAAGGAGTCCGACAAAATTGTGGGCATTTGTCGAAGTTACATGAGTAGATTAATGATTTGAGGTTGAGTGGGAATACTGTGGTGTTGGAGTTTGAGCTATGTTGAAGAGGTGGTTGGGTTGTTTGGGATGAGGTTGAGTTTGCAGGAAAAAACTGGAAGATTAAGGTCGATGGAGATTGAGTGGGAATACCGTGGTGTTGGAGTTTTAGGGGTTTTCCACGTAAAAACTCTGGTGCCTCTTATGAATGTTACACCCTCTCATTTATCTGATTGTGTGCTGGATTTTCGTACAGTGCTAAGACGTTAAACTATATATTTCTCTACCGCTGTGAATACTCCAGGATGCAACAATGAGCAAATTAGAACTTGTAGAATTAAGCTCGAGCTCGATTAATTAATCAAACTCAATCTTAAGCTCAAGCTAGAGGTGACTTGTGCTCTACTCGACTCGTTTACACCTCTACCTTAAACCATGCCTTGAATAATGCCATCACTTGAATTCAAAGTTATTTAAAATTTATATGACCATCCATGGAGCTTTAAATAAAGATAGCATATGAACCTAATCCCAACCATCTTCTAACCGACTCTGAACTTTCAATCACCTCCCAACTAACTTTAACTATATAACCATCTTTCAACTAATTTTTGAAATTTAAAAATACTAAAATCATGTATGCCTCAAATAGTTCCACCACTTGAATTTAAATTTATTTAAAATTAACAGGCCAGTCCATTGGCTCAATCGTTCTCTCTCTAGATTATCAAAGTTGATCCATCCTTTCTGAAGCTAGCATGAGTTGAACTTCCTATACCTTACCAGTAGAGACATTTTTTTAACATCTTCGTGCTTGGGTATCCACCCCATGGGTCTGGAGTTGATTTAACCCTTCCTTCCGTAGGAGTTGATACACCCCTCATATCGATTCAATACATTCTCTGCCCGAACAACCTGAGGTGTTCATTTCTCATCTATGTTCTGGAGACGATCTATTCCTCTAAACTAACAAAGTCAATACATCATCAGCAACATGAGAGATGTTTGGTTTAATCTCTCATGATGCGCACTTGCCTAGTGAGCATTGAGTCGATAATGCTTCTCTCTTTTGGAGGATGCACTCCCTTGTTCTTCCCGAATATGGGGATATTCTCAGAACGAGCAAGCAACGTCGACTCAACTCTACCCATGTAGGAGAATAGGAAGAGTTCTACAGGCTAATCAGTTCTAATTTGGGTTAAGGTACAGGAAACCTACTATGCTACGGATTTGGGAGGAGCAAGTTATGCTACCCTGCTTGCCTTCAAGTTCCAGTTACGCAGTCCCTCCTAAGGGATTTCCTAGTCGAGCAGCCCCAATCCAAGGGGACAATACCTCCTAAGGGATTTCCTATCCCTTAATGAAATCTTTTGTTAGGTAATTTCTGCTTTTATTTTTCCCTAATGACTGCTCTTTTTCTGTAGCAGAGGACTTCACTGCAAGATGAAGAATTGGAGTTGCTCTTCGCAAGCCTCTCTCTATGACTTGAACTTGTTGTGAACGATGGATGGTCCATCTGTGAAAGCTTCAGCGTAATATTACCAGAATCTTGTTTAGATTTCAAAATTTTGATGACACGTGGTGAACTCTGGGAGTATAGCGTAAGGTTCTTTGTAATCTTGTGTTGTCATGAAAATTCTGTTCTTTCTCTAGTGCACTACTTTGGGGATGGTTTCTATTCTAGTTTATGGCCTTTAGGACATGCATATGTCTATTATAAAGATTTGTATTACAAGTTTTTTTAGCAAATTTTAGTTAAAATGATTATGTAACTTGGAGGTAATTGGTAACAAAAAGTTATGGATATTCAAATTGAGTGGATAGAGTTAAGAGTGATTAATGGCTGGTAATTTTTTAACAGAGAGAGAGAGAGAGAGAGAGAGAGAGAGAGAGAGAAGAAGAAGAAGAAAAGAATTATTAAAATTGTAGATTATAGTAGTAGTAACCCAATGTAAGGTAATAGAACATAAATTCTGGGGGTTGTCCTCTTGCATGACTTTAATGAAGGTAATGCAAGGATGCAAAGAAAGTACATGCATTGTATTTTCTTTTTATTAATTTGTTTAGTTGGATACAAAATTGGATTATATTTCTTTTGGGTTGGTAATGAAAGAAAGAAAAAAAGAAAAAGAGAACTGCAAGGATATCCTCATATAATTTGTATCAAAATGTGTTGGAAATTATTAAGTTTATTTTGAATTTAGTATAATTTATAAATAATTTATATTATATTAATCTCAATATTATTTTGGTCGGAAGAATCTGCACTCTTATTTTTGAAGAATAGTGTCTTATATTGGTGAAATTATTCTGTGTGGATACGTACGTCGTCCGGAGGTGAATCAGAACACGTCATGTCACTTTTTTGCCATGTACCGTGGTTGTATCAGATTATGTGGCACTTTCTGATTCGCCTCCGGACGGTCCATTCTCCGCACAAAATAATTTCTCCTCATGTTGTTCTATGTGAACTACTGAATTTTTGTATTACTCAAATCAAGCATATTCTTTGTTGTTGTTTGCATCTTAATTATCTTGTTTTTAAAGCATTAAGCATTTCCATTTTCTTGTTCATTTTAATATTTTCCTTGACTTAGAATGCATTCATTGACCCTTACAAAATCGATAGTCCTTTTAGTTACAATATGAGGGAAAGGAAGGTGATGAGTTCAACAAATACTAGGCTAGAGTCTTAGCTTTTAAAACTAACTTCAGATGATGGTATGTGATTCTAACGAAATGTGAACAAATCAAGGACCTAATATTATTTGTTTTAATCCAAAATTAGATTAGAACCTAGGATTCAACCATTAGAAATGAATTTAGATTCAATTTTGGGTTTCAAATAATATTCTAATATTATTTGAATATTGTTCAAACTTGGGATTCGACTATTAAAATTGAAATTGAGGTTCAAATAGAGGTTCAAAAGTAGGAAATCAATTCCAATAGAGGAAGAAGGCTTGAGCATATGCTCATCCAAGGTTTGAACTTGTTTGAACCTATTTTCGAACATAGGTTTAAATTACGTGCAAACCTCATTTAAACCTAGAGTTATAATATTAGATTCAAATATAAAGTTTAAACATAGGTTTTAATAGATGAGCTATATTTGAAAATAGATTCAAATAAGCTTCGAACTATGTCCGAGTCTTACTCGAACCTTGGATAAACCCTTATTGAATCTTGTTTGAGCCTTTTCCTCATTATCTTTTAAGGAATTGATTCATTTGGATTGTTTTGCTATTTATGTAGATGTTCCAACTAATCAATTCCATGGAGAGAAATTCAACTCCAAGTAATTTTTAAGATGTATTGAACATGCAATTCTTTCGGGCCATAACTCATCAATTTAATATAGGTGTGTGCATGTCTCTTAATTTAATCATGATTTATACTTCAATATAATTGTTGATGTAAATAACAATTTTAGCAAATATTAAAATCTAGAGCTGTTAGTCATACACTTAAAATTTTTTTTGGAGGTATGACATATTGTCAACCATGAGATTCAAATATTTGACATATAAATCATTATGAGATTAAAATATTTGACATGTCTCATTGATTCACTCAAATGCATACACATATAAGACAAAACAAATGATCAAATAATTACAATGTATCCTAAGAACTAAGTGGCAAGGTCTCCTCAAGCGAATATATTGCCCCAAAGTGGCTGATAAGACAATCTCTTTCACTCTCATGCTAAATATCAAATCTTTGCACTAGTAGAGCTTTCAAGAGGCAAGATTGTTCATAGTAGGGAAGGAGCGTCCATCGTTCTCACACTACCATTGATGGATTTCTTCCTTTCATTAGATCCATCAAAACCTAAGGAAATTAAAATGCATAATAGCACTTATTATGTAGTGTCTCATAGATTATGATGTGATGATAATATAAATTTGACTAAATGTGAAAAAAGAAGAGGAAAATGAGCCGATACTTATATTGCCAACTACTGCACCCCTTATTGGGAGCAACATTATGACCCCAAAAAAATCATCCAACCTTTATTTAGTGAATCCAAAATAGCAATTGATGCCAACCTTATATATTTTGTTGATGAATGCATAAGTGAATACTCTATTGATCTCTTGGGATCATCTGGAAGTTTAGAGGTTGAGGAAGTTGATGAAATCCAAATTTGTAATAGGAAATCCATCACTCCAAGAATGGTGAACGAAACATTTAGGTTTCATTTGGGGCAAAATTATACACATATTTCAATAGTTATAAATCATGAAATTATTCATATGTAATATTCATAACAATATTTTGGAACTTTTACCATTATATAGCAATTTTTATAAATGTCAATATACTCATTAAAATGGCTGAATTATCATGCAATCAAATTATGTGGTGAAAATTTATTTATACATGTTAATAAGATCATAATGTTTCATTCTACAACATACTAAAAGTCACATGATTAAAGTTTTTACCGTCTTCATAAATTTGAGTTTGTACAAATCTAACCAAGTAAAGCACAAAAATTTTACAAAAGAGTCACAAAATTGAAATCTGAAATAGGGCAACAATAACATACCTTGATCTAAACAATAGTCCTAATTATCCTGATGCTCTAAGGTATCCAAACGTAACAACCTTAATAATTCATAGAAAATCGATAAATATTAAACAAATATACAAATCTTACAAGATCTAAATTAAGTCATTACATATAATTCAATTATTGTACAAGCATTCATTCTATGTATGTTGTTGGTTAAGGAGCCCTCCCACCATCACTTACACAATTGATCACTTTATGCCATATCCAATGTTAATGGGGGCAAAACTCAACTGGATATTGATTAATCCTTGGGCTTCAATCAATATTATGGTACCAAAAGGATTCATCTTGGGTGCACATAAGTTGAGCTTGAACAAGTTGATGTTACACAACTTCGATAATAAGAGATACAACATGAGAAGGGATAGAGAATGTTTGGGTCTTTGATGCTCTTAGGTCTTTGACCATTGCACTCAGGTTTGATAAACTTAGAGAAAAGGTACAATTTTATATTCTTGATTGGACACATTATTTTGGGCTCTCTTAGGATGCTTTTGGATACCTTAATACAAGATTTTGTAGTTTACTCTTTAGCAGTTGCATGAAATATATTTATATTGATATTGAGTGCCACATCTTATGCAATATGTAACATTTCTTAGCACATAACATTGGTATGCATGAGCATTCATAACTCTACCTCCTCACACTAAATAAAAGGCCTTTTCCCCTCACCAGAAAGAAAAATCAAACTTAAAAAATCCTCAAATATCAATCAATTTCTCAAAGAAGAGGTATTATGGGTGGAAGGAAGAGAAACCGAGGAAACAGCAATCATGATGTTAGAATTCCTTCACTTCCATATGAGTTTGGCAAAAATGATGAGTCAATCATCATATATCAATAAATAAAGTCAATACATCCTATTGTATATATAACCTAAGAAGAAAAATGTTTAATATCTTAATAGTCACGACCTCAATCTAAAGGAGTGTATGTTCAAATTCTTTCACTTCCATATGAGTTTGGCAAAAATGATGAGTCAATCATCATATATAAAATAATAAAGTTAATGCACCCTACTATATATATGACCTAAGAAGAAAAATGCTCAATATCTTAATAGCCACGACCTCAATCTAAAGGAGTATACATGGGGAATGACTCAAAAGTTGAAACTCACACACACACACGCATGCGCGCGCGATCGCACACACACACGCACGCGCGCGCATGCATGCACACACACACCATATGAGAAGATAGTCACCATGATCACTCGCTCTTATCTAGAGTGGATACCATCACTCATTTACATCAAGTTCAACTACAAGAAATCGCCTACTTATGGGGTCCTCAGCTAATCTTGGTGGGACTATTTAACCTAAAACTCTCGTTTTCTAGAATTACAACCTACTTGCCTTTCTCTTTAAAGGACATTCGAGGCCTTCAACATAAGTCACCAACAACCTCAATAAGCCCGATAGTGTAGGCTTCCTCATCTTAGCACTCGCCGATGGACTCACCCAAGCCTGCTATCTTGAACCTACTCAACAATACCGAACTTGTCCTAGAAGTAGATCATTAAAGATCATTAAAAATCATTCAGCGTCACCCTCTCCAACTAGTCATGGGGTGACACATGTCTATGATAGTTTGTATTGAGAGTCATTTAAGTTAATACATGCAGCTCATCTTGGTATGTTAGTTGAGATCTTTGACTATTAACCAAGAGGTCATGAGTTTGAGTATTACGTATGTGTTGTATGTGTTAGTTTACCTTAATTAGCCTAATTGTCACCAAAAAAATAAATTAATGTATTTTTTATACTTTTGAAAATGAATATTTTGGATTATTTGACTAAGTGATATTTTGTGCACCTTGAGCATTTTTCCACAAATTTTCTCAACTAAATTACTTTATCTTAATTCTCATATAGATTCTAAGTCACCCCTCATAAAGCTTGTCTACTAATAAGGTCATGTATTATCTACGAATAAATTTTGATCAAAGATAAACAAAGCCTATATTTCTATTACACCTTTTTTCATTTTACTATGTATTATTTGTTCATCATATCAAAAATGCCTTTTATTTTTACTTTAATTTGTTTGGGACGGTTTAACTTTTTTTGTTTATATTTTTTAAAATCTTTTTTCTTAGTAATAGCTTCAAAAATTTTCTCTAAAAATAATTAATTTTTTTTTTAAAAATAGATAAATAAAGTTATCTTTTAAACATATATGTTTTTTTTTTTGGGACTTTTGGCCATTTAAGACAAACTCATACACACAACGCATACACATAGACTCTCGAATCCTGAACCTCTTAGTTGGAAGCCTAAGCTCTCAACCAATAGGCCAAGGAGAGTTGTGTAACATATATGTTTTTTATTAACAGCATTTAGCAGTTGAAAAAGCTGTTACAAAGAAAACCTACTTCGGCTTTATTTAGGAAAGTTTTTTTACTGTTTTTTCAATGATTTTTTATATAAAAAAATAAAAAAAATTTAATAGAAATTCAACCCAAGCACCTAGAAGCGCTTGTGAGTGCGGTGAATATTTTTGTTCGGAAGGCGATCTTCTGTGTCGATGTCGATGGGAATTGCATCTCTACGGCGGCTACCCCTCTTCCGCTCCTTCCGCTGCTCTTCTGCTTCCCTCCCTCTTTTGTACCGTATGTCCTCTTCTTCCTCCGCCTCGGATGGCATTCCGAAACCCTTCGTCTTCGACAACTGGATCTCGAACAAGCACGAGTACCACGCTCTGTGGTCCCACGTTGTAACGCGTAGCCACCACCTCCAAGGTATTTTATCATTGTCTCCTTCCTTACCATCTCATCACGAGATGGATGCTGCTGCCTAGGGTTTTTGTTGATGTTATGTCTGTTTCTTCCAAAAATTTAAATCTCGTTGTGCTTTTCCTGTGTGGTAATTTGGGGTTGTTTTATTTTATTTTTAAGTCTTATTCTTTCATTGAATCTAACATACGATGTTGATGCCTTCTTATCTCGTATGTCCACCTAAATTTCTGGCATCTTTGATGACATGTAATTGTTATTTTCAGTTTTTAGGTTGGATTGGGGGGGTGGGGTGATGCATATTCACTGACACTTGCAGGTTGCCGCCTTCCATTTGTAGGAGGCTTTGGACGGGGTTTCAGTGTAGCAGCCAGAACTCATTTGCCTGTCATAACAGATCCTGACATAGAAGCTGCATTCAAGGATTTAATGGCAATGGATTGGGATGAGATCCCAGATTCTGTTGTCAATGAAACAAACAAGTCTTTGTCTAAGACTACTGATGATACTTCTGGGAAGGAGGCTTTGGCTAACGTGTTTCGTGCAGCTGTAGCTTCAGTGGAGTTTGGTAGTACTTTAGTTTCTCTTAGAATGGCACTTGATGATCTGGCCGGTTTAACTGGGGAGGTCTGTCTTTTTTATTGCTCCTGCTTGCTTTTATTATCATGGATCGAAGTTGCCATCCGATTTGTTCTGATTGCTTCTTTTTTTTTTCTTTTCAGAATGTTGGACGCTTGCCAGACTATTTAGAAGATGCTTTGAGAGCAGCATATAGACGTTACACGACCTATCTTGATTCCTTTGGTCCAGATGAAGCCTATCTACGGAAAAAGGTTGAAACTGAACTTGGATCAAAGATGATACACTTAAAGATGAGGTGCAGCGGCATTGGTTCTGAGTGGGGAAAGGTGATACTTTTATGAATGTTTTATGTTTATTTTTTTCACAAGCATTCATTGCTAAGGGTCTTATTTCTGATAAGTTATCACCTTCAGATATCTTCAGAGTTATTGTTTTTTGTTGCAATTAGTTTCATGAATTTTTTCCTGTTAACAATGTACTTTTTAATGAAGAGTGTGAAAATAAGATTGACTATAGTGACCTTAGCACCCTAAATGAAAGTAAAGATTTCTGTTTTTATCGGCGTATTAGTAAAACTGAAGTTAGAGAGGCTTTAAATAGAATGAAGGGTGGAAAAGCTGTTGGACCTGATGATATTCCAATAGAGGTGTGGAAATGCTTAGGAGATGAAGGGATATATATATATATATATATATATTTTTTTTAATTTTTAATTTTTTTTAACCATAATAGAGAGCGACTATTCATTAAACAAGCAAAAAAGGACATCCACTGACTACGACAATTTTTTGTTGGGACATTTAGGCCATTTAAGACAAACTAATACAGAAATACTCAACCTTAGACTTCTTAGTTGGAAGTCTTAGCTCTCAACTAATAGGCCAAGAGAGCTGTGTATGACTACGTCAATCACTCTCATTTCCACTCAAATTCCATCCATTAAAGACAAAAGTTGCGCAACATCCATTCACAGTTCAGCGTGATCATTAGCCCTAAAACAACGGCAGATAAAAAGTCTATAAACAAGAGATATAGGGTCCATTTCCAGATCCTGCAGGAATGGATGAGAGGCTTGAAGTCCCTCTCAATCCCCACCAACCTGCCGCTTCCAGGAGTCCTCTACTATCAGTTCGTCAACTCCCCAATCTTCATAACTCCCATCAGGAAGATACCTTCGAATGGTGAAGGGTATCTTGCGCTCTCGAAGCTCTTTCATCGCAATCTCCAGAGGATCAGTTTCACCTTCAAGCTCAACCATTACAGGCGCATTCATGCTGATCTGAAGAGCACGTGTTCCTAATATCCTTGCACGCTCATACTTTGTCATGTACTTGGATGTTTTCCTAGGATGCTCAACTGGTTCTTGCTCCTTTTCTTCATTTTCAGCACCAATAATATCATCTGGAACATCATCATTGTTTTCTTCCTCTACCTCAGCACCTTCCTCAATTTCAGGTTCAGGTGGCTCATCCTCATACCCCATGTCCATATCGTTGTAGTCATCATCTGCCATGTTACCAATAACCTATTGCTTTCCCAAGTTCTTCCGGTCGTGCCCTGCGTCAAATTGGGCGCCCAAAACCCTAGCTTCAAGCCGTCGTAAGAACTTTCACAGTTATATGAAATTATTTATGATGCAGAATGACCTTTAAAATAAAATAGAAAATGTGATGGAGAAGATGTAATGACATGAAAAGATTATTTAAAAGCAACATTTTAAACAAGTCTCAGGCTTATACTAGGAGATAACCTCTCTCTAAACACTAAAATCTCTCATTTGATTATGGCTCAAATTCCAAAATAAGAGAAAGAAGAGACTTTTACATCCAAAATAAGAATTTCATCTGTACCATAAACTGCCATACAAGGCCTAGAATCATATTTATAGATCGAAGAATAATAAACTTCTAAAAAACTGCTAGCAGAGTGCTGGAAATCATTAATAAATTACTAACAAACATAATGATATTGGTCAAAATAATCCTTAGGAAATAATGAAATTTAAAGTAGATAAATAACACAAACAAATATAGAAAAAAAAAAACTTATAATTTTTGTCCCTATTAATTCCCTTGATTGCAAAATTTTCTAATCTAGATAATGGTAGTGATCATATACATTCAAAGTCAATATCATGCTCCGACAACTCTGAATCGTCGAATGATGGATTGTACTTCTAGTAGACTATAGGATAATATGATCTTGGATAGGCACCTGCGTTCTCATCTGAATTGTTGTACACTATTGAACCATGGCTTTGTTTATGCTGCTTTTAAAGAGATGATTCAAATCCCTTGAGCAGAGGAAGATAGAAAACTTGTAAAAGATGGTGAATTGCCTTGTTGGAGACTCCTTGTGATTCACAAATGATTTATAGAATATTAGAATCAAGTCAAGTTTTTTTTATTTATTATTATTATTTTTTGATAATATTTTCTAAATTTTTTTTCTTGATTTAAACTCTCTTTTTACCCCTTTTGTATGTTTTCAACACTCAATTGTTCACCATTCATGTGAACAATGATTGCATACCGACATACCGTTCACACAAAATGATATCTCAGGCTGTGTGTATAGGAGAGAATAATTAAATATTAAGGCTTGTATGGCCGTGGATTGAAGGTTTATGGATTGAAGGGTCGATGAGAAGAATAAGTTAAGGGTAGATTTAAGTTTGAAGTGTGTTGCTAGTTTGTTGGAGAGAGTCAAGGAGGTTTATGATATAAGATGTATGCTTATTATGACTTTGAATTGAAATTTGAATTTGAATATGATTAATTATGTGGAAAATATGTGAAAGTTAGGTTGCTTTTATGGAGGTTGTTAGAGGAGAGAGAAGAGGATTGGATAACAAGGCACTTATAGAGGGTTGGTTTATTGTTAATAGTTAATGGTTGCTTTATTGGTCATGGGTCTTAGATTTTCAAATGCAATTATGTGATGTAATGCAATAAATTACATACAAACTCAAATCATAAATCACAAACCATCTATTTAAACAAATATTCATTTCTTTAGAAGAAATTAGAAACTTATAAAATTCATATGAACGATACTTTAATATTTGTTTGATAAAAAAATGAATTAAATTTAAGTGTTATGAAAATTGAAATGCCGATTGTTACTAACACCTCAATCACAAAGATTATATAGTATGAGTTTTGACAAAAGTCATTTTGTTAGGTGGACTAATAACTAAAATTACATAATATGAAACTAAAAATGAATCAAGTCACCAAATACCAATACATGCCTAATCTCACATGGTGCCAAATCTCATTGTTAATTTAGGGATTTCTCGTCGAAAATCCTTCGTGTATGTTATGCTTGAATAATTGATTATTTTGTGATCTTAACTTCTAGTTGTGTGACTTGGCCTAAGCTAGTTTCACCCCTCTCTTGTTTTCTTTCGTTGTTTAAATCGCTACAAGCGTAATATTTAATATTGCTCTCATCTAAAAGCGTGGAACTTCTTATTTAACATTGCCTAAGCATTTAAGTCATACATCAATTATCATTGATATTGATTTTGTTGCAAGAAAAAAAAAACTCTATATCAACCCTTTCTGAGGAATCACACTCGGAGGAGGCTAAGAGACAAGATTTCAATGTCCTGATGAGAGCTCACAATCGAATAAGAAAGCATGGTGGCAAGGGTTTGAAATTGGCAAAGGTGAAGTATGATTGGAACTACTTTAAGAGAAAAAGAAGCATGCTTCTTAAATTAAGTTAACTTTGCAACTTTTAATTCACAAACTAACAGTACTAATAACATTTCCTGAATATTCCAACCAGATCTTTACAAAAGTGAACTAAGGTGGTATACAAATGTTAATAATTTAAAGTTTAGAGTGTTTGTTAAATAATACAGGAAGTTTAAAGTGGCACACAAGTGAACATCGCATATGATTGGAATAAAACCATTGGTTTTGGTGTTCCACAAAATTAAGAATGTCATTTTAACCATTATAAGTTTATAACACATAAACCATCCATTCTCTACAAAGCTTTATGAAAACTCAAATTGTCATAAACTTTATAATTTAATTCACATAATTAATTTTAATAATGCCATTTTAGATGCAACAATGTCATAGACCAGCAAATGAAAAATACAAATTACTTGAGTGAAGATCGCAGCACTCTCCTACCATATATATTCATGATTATGCGAATTTTTAATTTATATTTTTCCCTACTTAACTGATTTAAACTCATGTAATAAAAATAATTGAACCATGGTTATCCTTCCACATTATTGCAGCAAAGTTTGAGGAAAATAAATTTATTAATAAAAAAAAAATCTATAAAAAATGAAAAATCTCAACAAAGCACACGAATAGCAGTATACTTGAGCGAGATTAAAAATGAGAAATGGGAGAAACTGTCGCAGAGAGCAAACGCTAACTTTCGATCAAACTTGGAACATCGTCGAACCTTCATGACTTTCGATCCAACAGGGTACGTTCGAAGTAGGCTCTACTTGCGACTCTGCCTGCAATCGTTCGAAGAAGAAGGCAACGAAGCTTTTAGAATTTCGTTGAAGAAGGCAATGAAGTTTTTGCTAACGTCCGAAACTCTAACTTTGGTGCTTTAGGTGAGTCGAAGAGAAGGAACGCAAGCGAAATCGAAGTGCAAGAACGCAGGCGAAGTTGAAGAGCACGAACGAAATGAACGGAAGGAATAAATGAAAGGACCGATATTAGGTTTAGGTTTTAAATAAGCCATTTTTAGAGGCGAACGCCTCATTGAATTGAGGTGAGGAAGGCATGCCTCTATTGATTTGAGGTGTATGCCTCACGAAACATGTCCGAAGCATCCGCCTCAATGCATAAATGGGCTGAATTGCGCTGTGGCGCGCCTCTTATTGTGCAATTTTAAACCATGAGTATATCTGTGCAATTATCAAAGTCATAATGGGCATTAAGTCTGTAATTTGAAAAATTTTTCCTTAATGTTGGCCAACAACTTTATGCAAGGGGCATGTGGCTATTCTTCATCATCTGATTCTTCAAGATCAACCACGACCTCTTGGTGTGATGGGACATCCAAGCAAAGTCTCGTAGTAAACATCACGTAAGCAATTGTCAGATCCTCATCAATTAGTAAATCATCATTCTCAATACCTTGTAAGGTAGGAACTCCACTACTTAAAGGATTTGCAGAGGTCGTAGAGTCAGGAAGAGTCATTGGAGAACTATGAGGGACATTCTCTCTAGTTTACTCTAGCATCATCTTGAGGACTTTTCCTACAGACCGAATGTTGGTGGGGGGGGGGGGGGGGGTTTGTGAATGAAGAGAATGTTGAGCAGCGGTATGTTTGGAATTGTCAGGAACTCTAGTAGGGGACATGTGGGCATCCATCCTAGGTCTCGACCTACACTCAACATGGTCGTGATGACATACAAGGGATGTGCGAATGTCCATATCCAATTTTTGTCTATAATTAATCCTATCATCATGTCTCACAAAGGACTTGAGGGTTTCCTTCCTTGGTCTTTGACTTTGATCATCATCAATGTCACATCAACCACAAGTAATTATCTGGCTCTCTATCACCATTATCTGGCTATCTCTATCTCCATTATCTGGCTATCTCTATCTCCATTATCATAAGGAAAATATATCTTGGTGGACTTGCGAGGCTGATGCTTCGATCTCTTACCAGAAGGATAGACTATATCATTAAGAATAAGTGGCGAATTATGGTGGTGCAATACTTTCTCTGAAGCTATTGCTATCTAATCATTGAACTATTGTCCACTTATTGAATCATGTCCATTGATTGATTGAACAACAAAGCTAATCCTTTGTGTTAGGACTTGCAATGCGCCAATGTAATTTTAAGCAGAGGACGAGGACTAGCAGGTTACTTTGTTGCTATCCTAGTGACTACCTTTGCAATACTTTCAGCTAGTGTATCAAATATATTTTCTATAACTATGCTATTTGTGTTCTTTGCTCATGTAGTCTCCTCAATTTCCTATTGTACTTTCTTCTGGCCCTTCTCCCATTTTAATTGTGGTAAGCTCTCGACCTCAGTAGTGTCTAGGGCAAAGGTGATGTGGCTAGGCTCCTTAGGGCATGATAACCTTGTAAAGATATAAGGTTTTGGACTATCTCTATTCTTTAGCATCGGTATTAATGTAAGGCTTATTTGTTTAAGCTTAAGGAAGCTCCCCAATGTAATCTAGTAAGGACCTACCTGCTAGAATAACGTAGGAACCCTTCCTCTATGGGAAGGCTAGGAGTGTCAATATTTGACTCGACCCTGATTTGACCTAGAAAATTTCGTGCTTGGGTGAATCCGTTTGTCAGATGGGTTGGGTTCGGGTTCAAAAATGTGACCATTTTGTGAAATTGGTTAAGGTTCGGGATTACCCAGAAACCCAAAATCAACTTGAAGTTGACTTGGGTCCATATTTGAATAGCCTCCGCAGCTCCTCTAGCCTCATGTTCACAGTCCACTAGCATGGTCGCAGTTTCAGACCAATCGGTTCATGTGGCTTGTGGCTCACCTAGTCTACTTGCAACCCCCGGTTCACGCGTCTGCTCGCGGCTCAAGTGCACATGCTCGTGCGCTCAAAG